TTATATCGCGCTATGAGGAGGCATTTACTCATAACCCAAGGCGATAGTGAGTGTGACATGCATGATCGCCCACGTTAAGAAACGTCTTTCACAATTATAGCATTGGAGTTCAGGATCGTAGTTGCAATCATTTGTGTTTAGTGGGTTTCTTCTTAGTCGCTCATCTATCTATCTATCTATCTATCTATCTATCTATCTATCTATCTATCTATCTATCTATCTATCTATCTATCTATCTATCTATCTATCTATCTATCTATATCTATCTATCTATCTATCTATCTATCTATCTATCTATCTATCTATCTATCTATCTATATCTATCTATCTATCTATCTATCTATCTATCTATCTATCTATCTATCTATCTATCTATCTATCATCTATCTATCTATCTATCTATCTATCTATCTATCTATCTATCTATCTATCTATCTATCTATCTATCTATCTATCTATCTATCTATCTATCTATCTATCTATCTATCTATCTATCTATCTATCTATCTATCTATCTATCTATCTATCTATCTATCTATCTATCTATCTATCTATCTATCTATCTATCTATCTATCTATCTATCTATCTATCTATCTATCTATCTATCTATCTATCTATCTATCTATCTATCTATCTATCTATCTATCTATCTATCTATCTATCTATCTATCTATCTATCTATCTCTATATCTATCTATCTATCTATCTATCTATCTATCTATCTATCTATCTATCTATCTATCTATCTATCTATCTATCTATCTATCTATCTATCTATCTATCTATCTATCTATCTATCTATCTATCTATATCTATCTATCTATCTCTATCTATCTATCTATCTATCTATCTATCTATCTATCTCTATCTATCTATCTATCTATCTATCTATCTATCTATCTATCTATCTATCTATCTATCTATCTATCTATCTATCTATCTATCTATCTATCTATCTATCTATCTATCTATCTATCTATCTATATCTATCTATCTATCTATCTATCTATCTATCTATCTATCTATCTATCTATCTATCTATCTATCTATCTATCTATCTATCTATCTATCTATCTATCTATCTATCTATCTATCTATCTATCTATCTATCTATCTATCTATCTATCTATCTATCTATCTATCTATCTATCTATCTATCTATCTATCTATCTATCTATCTATCTATCTATATCTATCTATCTATCTATCTATCTATCTATCTATCTATCTATCTATCTATCTATCTATCTATCTATCTATCTATCTATCTATCTATCTATCTATCTATCTATCTATCTATCTATCTATCTATCTATCTATCTATCTATCTATCTATCTATCTATCTATCTATCTATCTATCTATCTATCTATCTATCTATCTATCTATCTATCTATCTATCTATCTATCTATCTATCTATCTATCTATCTATCTATCTATCTATCTATCTATCTATCTATCTATCTATCTATCTATCTATCTATCTATCTATCTATCTATCTATCTATCTATCTATCTATCTATCTATCTATCTATCTATCTATCTATCTATCTATCTATCTCTATCTATCTATCTATCTATCTATCTATCTATCTATCTATCTATCTATCTATCTATCTATCTATCTATATCTATCTATCTATCTATCTATCTATCTATCTATCTATCTATCTATCTATCTATCTATCTATCTATCTATCTATCTATCTATCTATCTATCTATCTATCTATCTATCTATCTATCTATCTATCTATCTATCTATCTATCTATCTATCTATCTATCTATCTATCTATCTATCTATCTATCTATCTATCTATCTATCTATCTATCTATCTATCTATCTATCTATCTATCTATCTATCTATCTATCTATCTATCTATCTATCTATCTATCTATCTATCTATCTATCTATCTATCTATCTATCTATCTATCTATCTATCTATCTATCTATCTATCTATCTATCTATCTATCTATCTATCTATCTATCTATCTATCTATCTATCTATCTATCTATCTATCTATCTATCTCTATCTATCTATCTATCTATCTATCTATCTATCTATCTATATCTATCTATCTATCTATCTATCTATCTATCTATCTATCTATCTATCTATCTATCATCTATCTATCTATCTATCTATCTATCTATCTATCTATCTATCTATCTATCTATCTATCTATCTATCTATCTATCTATCTATCTATCTATCTATCTATCTATCTATCTATCTATATCTATCTATCTATCTATCTATCTATCTATCTATCTATCTATCTATCTATCTATCTATCTATCTATCTATCTATCTATCGATCTATCTATCTATCTATCTATCTATCTATCTATCTCTATCTATCTATCTATCTATCTATCTATCTATCTATCTATCTATCTATCTATCTATCTATCTATCTATCTATCTATCTATCTATCTATCTATCTATCTATCTATCTATCTATCTATCTATCTATATCTATCTATCTATCTATCTATCTATCTATCTATCTATCTATCTATCTATCTATCTATCTATCTATCTATCTATCTATCTATCTATCTCTATCTATCTATCTATCTATCTATCTATCTATCTATCTATCTATCTATCTATCTATCTATCTATATCTATCTATCTATCTATCTATCTATCTATCTATCTATCTATCTATCTATCTATCTATCTATCTATCTATCTATCTATCTATCTATCTATCTATCTATCTATCTATCTATCTATCTCTATCTATCTATCTATCTATCTATCTATCTATCTATCTATCTATCTATCTATCTATCTAATCTATCTATCTATCTATCTATCTATCTATCTATCTATCTATCTATCTATCTATCTATCTATCTATCTATCATCTATATCGATCTATCTATCTATCTATCTATCTATCATCTTCTATCTATCTATCTCTATCTATCTATCTATCTATCTATCTATCTAGCGATCTATCTATCTATCTATTACGCAGTAACCTCCATACGAGTATTACCATTACGTATTTCACGTTTAAAACTCATGGAATCAAGGCCGAAGGGTTGCGATAGCCATAGTTTTTAGCCAAAGCGTTAACAACTTATGGTTTCTGAATAAAAAATTAAAAAAACACACACACTGCTTCCTAAACTTGGGTGACCAACTGCCCTTACTCCAGTTGGAAACAAAACCCTTCTCTCTTGTAATATCATCATCTTGTGCTTCTACACGATTATCAGCATCACATGTGACCAAACGATCAAAGATTTTTTCTCTTTGCTTTCTCCCTGTCCTCTTTCTGTCAATCGTAATAGTTGTCACCGAGTTCTCGAGCTTATATCTGATACTGAAATATTCAGTCTGTAATCGGACACAAAGAATAACTTAATAACAATTTTGTTTTGTATCGTCTTTCTTTCAACGTCTGTTAACATGAGGTTCCGTCAGGTTAATTGACTGTAGTCTTCTTCAATTCCTAAAATTTGTTTTTCTGTATGTTTTTAAAACTCTGAGACAAGTGGCGCTGCATGGGGTTTCACGTAACCTATGGTAAACTCTGCCGATTGATTTAAGTAGGTTATAATTTACAGCTAAACTAGTCCTGTTCTTGTTGACAGCATTTCCTTTGTAATTTCCATTACTTCTGTTTTTCCGCTGTTCAAAGTAGGGATCTCCCCCCCCCCCCTTTTCCCCTATTTTCTGTTAACAATTATGTCCATAATTTCTTGCAGTTGTGTTTGATTTTCAGCGATTAAAACTATATTATAAGAATATCACAGGTTGTTAACAACATGCCCACTAAACGCTATTCCTAGAAGATCATGTGTGGATCTAATTATTATTTCCCTGTACAAATAATAGTACATATCCCTGTCTAACGCCGTGTTTAATGCACTGAAAAGTTCCAACGTGGTTGCCAATCTTTATGGCTGCTGCTTGTTGCCAGTAAATATTTTTTTCCTGATCTCTACCGTCCAATTTTTGAGATTTCAAAAATTATGATAATTTTTTTGTTTCATTTTATCAAATGCAATATTTCAAAGCATAGATAAAGAAATCTGTTTATTTCAATCATTCTTTCCGAAAGAGTTCTCAAGATAAATATGGCGTTGTTTGTGCCTGTTCATGTAACAAAACCAGACTGCTTTTCTACAATTTTTGGTTTAATTGTGCACCTTATTCTTCTATTGTTGAATAACTATGTTTGTTTTTAAAAATTTCGGATTACAAGTGCATATTGTTTTTTCACAAGATGGCGGCTATTGCCATGACAACTATGATTGTTTAAACACTTAAAGTATACAAATGTAATAACATGTATCCCTACAAATGATCATTATAAAATAACTGCTCTAGCTCTGTAAATAAAAAAAAAAAATTTTGGTGTAGTGACCCCTTAATATGCTCACTGGTTTTAGTTTTAGTTAAATGGCAGTTGGGGGAGGGGTGGGGGACGGGGGAAGGGATCGGGTGTAAATGTATAAAGCCACTGTTATAAATACCATTTAACAATTTTTTGTCAACGCCTTTGAACCCAGTTTACTAGCAGCTTTTGATTCTTCTATATTAATATTATCTAGCCCTGGAGAGCTACATTTCTTTATGTACTTATAGTATCTTTTATTTCCCCTTTCAGTACTGGCGGCCCTTCCCAATACTCGCGAATCTCTATTTCTGGTTTTTTGTCATCATCGTATTATTATTTTATATGGCTATATAATCTAACTCTCTATGTCTGGTCTGTTGTTATAATCGTATAGCTAGCTAGCTCTTTTGCACATTCTGTCCATCTTTCAATTCCCTTGCACACTGTTCCAGCACTAGGGAAATTTCCGATAAATGCAACATATCTTCTTATATGGCACTATCTGTGAATGATGACAACAAAAGTGTTTGAATGAAATATTTATATACAAATGTCTAACAGACAATCATGTCTACAGTAAGCTGTCGACTTATAGCTTACTAGTAGATCGTCTTCTACTTCAGAAGTAATTTATGATGGAGATAAGGGGAGTAATTTCACTGCAGTGTTTAACTACAGTTCTACCCATGTTGCATTTAGCTGGTAAGTCAAAATAGCTTTTCTTTACTGTAGAAATTTATATTTCACTAAACTGCTGACAATGGCAGTAAGTTTACTGAGTAAGCTCACCCATAGAAATTATGCACACATTTCCGAGACACACACAGACACAAACACAAACAAACACTCGTCCTAACGTGTCGTGGAAGTAACTGTGGGGATCTGCTGTGTACTCGTCCTAACGTGTCGTGGAAGTAACTGTGGGGATCTGCTGTGTACTCGTCCTAACGTGTCGTGGAAGTAACTGTGGGGATCTGCTGTGTACTCGTCTAACGTGTCGTGGAAGTAACTGTGGGGATCTGCTGTGTACTCGTCTAACGTGTCGTGCAAAGTAACTGTGGGGATAACTGTGGCGGTGTGTACTCGTCCTAACGTGTCGTGGAAGTAACTGTGGGGATCTGCTGTGTACTCGTCCTAACGTGTCGTGGAAGTAACTGTGGGGATCTGCTGTGTACTCGTCCTAACGTGTCGTGGAAGTAACTGTGGGGATCTGCTGTGTACTCGTCCTAACGTGTCGTGGAAGTAACTGTGGGGATCTGCTGCTGTACGTGGAACTAACGTGGGGATCCTAAACGTCCTACGTCTATGTGGAAGTAACTGTGGGGATCTGCTGTGTACTCGTCCTAACGTGTCGTGGAAGTAACTGTGAGGATCTGCTGTGCACTCGTCCTAACGTGTCGTGAAAGCTACCTTTATTACCTTCATTCTGTTCTTGATGCAGTCAACACATGTTTTCGTGGTCTGCCGGTGGCTATGTGTTTATTATATTTCTTCAGCCTGATTCTCTGTGCCGGCTTTTACCAGGGCATTTTCCAAATATGGCAAAACTATCTCATCTGTTACTATTTAATGAATCGAACGACTAGTTTCCTGTCTCTTACCTTTTCTAATTCATTATTTTTTTCCCAACATCTTGTTACTCCGGATGGTTTTGTAAGACGATCTCTGTTACGACCTCTCTATCCACTTTGTTCTCACAGGCACATACTAATTGTAAGCACTAAAGATTGCATCTCCAGCAACTTTTCCTACAGGAAACGCGGTGGTGCAATGGACGCTGCCAACCATCCTGTCGCTTTTAGCTTCAATTCTGACCTGAATAGAATCTATCAAAAATATCAGTCTAGCACCATGTGTCTAATACGCTAGTTGTGCGACAAGGGTTCTCTGTATTTTTAACTTATACTATTTATTCGCATCATTCAAGCAATCAGATGCCTTCTCTGTAATGATGGTTGGCTGAAATGGATTTCCATGGTCTTCCCTTGTCTTGAGGTACACTCTCAGAGACTGCTGTTTGTCCAACTTTTGATTTTATCATCCCATGTGTATTATCGTTTTTTACCTCTTGAACTCTTGCCCTCGATCTTTCCCTATCGTATGGTTTTGAAAAATACTTCAGTATCTTTTTTTTTTTTAGCAGCCTTTCCATAACATGTGTATTTGCTTGTTTTTGTTTGAATGCGACATATTCTTCTGTATATCAATATTTCCAGATACTAATTTAGACTTTCAAGCTGCTTCATTTGTTTATAAAATATAGTAACTAACTGTTGAAAGCGTTTCTGCATGTCTTGACGAAGCATTCTCAAAACTGACTACACAGCAGTTTAAGATCTACCTTGTATGTGGCCTAGTCCGCGGCTTGGTGGGAGATTTTGCGGACAGAAGTAAATTTTGCTGGCTTCTCAGGTGTGTTGCTTACAGCTGGTCACTTTGTAATGTCCAGTCCAATAGCCTAATAATCATTTTTCTTATTGTAAGCATAGTACATGAAAATATCCGGAAGGTTAACCAGATCAACAAATGCCTGCTGAGGTCAAATGTGTTGCCGAATGTCGCAAATATCGCAGCCATGCCGTAAACGGGCACACCAGTTACATTTGGATGAACGCAGAAGAAGAAGTACATCAACATTTCCTTAAACTACATACACCCCACCTGCCCAAGAATGACTTGTGTCAGTTAACTTTTCTTACTTTCACCTAATTAGTCATCGGTTAACTGTTTGGGAACCAAGCAAGTTTACTTCCAGGCTCTTTGTTTTCAGATATTATTGTATTCGGTGTTTACATCCAAAGAATTAAAATAGTTACAGAATGAGAAGGAGGCGTTAAAGTATCTTTGTGGAGTAAGTGGGTGGTTGTACATCTGGATGAGTCTCAAGGATCTAAGAAAAGATTCGCATGTCAGTTGAGACCAGCAAACACTCATTATGAAATTGTATCTTCCACAAAGTATGCACACGATTATGTAGTGAGAAAAAAAGGAGGGGGCGGGGGAAAAGGAAGTGGAGACAAATATTCATTTGTTCAGGGAGATAAATACGATATCAAGGATACAATATTTAAAATAATTATGTACACTTAGCCTTACTGTGTGTATAGACACAATGAGAATTACAAACAGTTATTAATTCGAATTGAGTCTTTTAAAATGTGAATATTCAGAAGAAAAGGTTGTATGTCATCATCTTCAGCAGCCAGTGCAGAGTTCCAATATTAATGGTGCCAGTAGCATTCTGTCTAAACGTCTGTCGTGCCTTTCCGTTGAGTCACGAGCATCGTCCAGAACCCCTTGTCCCTACCTCCTGCATCAATCTCACCAGGCTAATACACCATTCTGACATGTCTGCAAATAGACAGAGAAAAACTAGCGAAAATAGAAGGTCACTGAAAAAGAGGTAGGCAGCGAAACAAAAAGGATCATAGATCACAAGACGAACAGACAGCAGCAGTCTCAAAGCGTACGACTAGAACTAGAGCGAGTTGATGATCCATTGAAACCAACCTTCATTATGGCGATCACACATGATTGAATCGGAATTGCCGTGGCGTAGCGTCTAGATGCTCCTGTGTGGATCGGAATGTTGTGGGTTCGCACCATGGCTAAGCCTGACTTTTTTCAAAAATTACCTTGACTCACAGGTCGACCCAGCCTTGAGTGGGTACCGGGTGCAGTCTCGGGAAGTGAAGGCGGCCGTCGTGATGCTGACCACATCACGCAATTTGTGCCGTTTGATCTTTAAAAATATAGGTCTAGCCCTATATTCCCTTACGCGTAAAGGGGTAGAATAGGGACCTTTACTTACACTTTATACCTGATTAATTGACTGAGTGACTGACTGTTCACAGGCAGCGAAACAACAGGCTATAACGTCCACGTCGCCGTAGAGCATCTGACGCCCGTCGTCGGACTGGACTACTATATCCCGTGTACATTAATGTAAGTAACTTCATGAAAGAATACTTTCCAGGCCGTGAGAAGAGTCAGTTGATAGGACCCCTTCCCACACGCTGGGGCGTTTTAGGCATATAGCGCTAGACCTATATTTTACGAACCTATTGTTAACCAGTTGGTAAAGAGATCAACATCACACCACCGTCTTTACTTTCCAGGACTTTGCCTGCTGCCCACTCAAGAGTGGGTCGGCCGGTGAGCCTAGTTTATTTTTGAAAAAAGTCCGGATCAGCTCAGTTTCGAACCCTGACCTTCTGAACCGCGTCCAGCAGCTACACGGCGGTGCCTCCATATTTCAATATAGTTGAAAGGAATTTGACTAGTGACGAGGCTGATCTCATGCTGGCCGTTTTATTTCCCAGGACGTCTCCTGATACCAGTTTGTGGCTGCGTCGACCTGTGGACCTACAACATTTATATGCTTTCCTCCCCATATCCGCTTCCTCAATTATGGTTTCCCCGGTGTATATCAGGTTGTGACTATTCAGTAAGGTTACGTCGGCGACCGGGTTACCCACTGGCCCGCCGTAGACGACTTCGTCGCCAACCGGGACATTATTTGGGCCTGTCTCCTTTGATCACATGAAAACTGCAGGAGTCTTTGTCAGGTCTCTTGGGGGCGTGCAGCGCTAAGCCATTTTATATTGCGCACATAAAGCTAGTGGCAACTTGAACCTAAAGCTTCCCCCTTCCGGGATGCTGATTGAACGTGACGACCTTTCACTGCAAGGAGTCTCCACAACGCTGCGTCTTTGGCCCAGATGTAAGCGAGGGCGATTCAACAGGCGGCTCGTGGGCCAACTGGGACCTGCGGATCATTGCCAGTTGTGTTGTATTAATGATCTTGGGTACCATACATTTTATGTGCAGTAGAGGCAGTCTTTCTTAGTCAACTGAAACGAGGAAAATAATTCCTAATACTATAAAAAAAAAGTTTTTTTTTTTTTATTACGGAAGTTAATCATGGACAATTACTAGATTTTATGAAAAATTGTTTGGAAGCTGCGGAGATGTGGTTTTATTACCAAATGATGAGAATACCCTGGACAGATAAAAAGAGTATTGAAGACGTCTTGAAAAAAATTGACTTACGAAGAGAACTGATTGCCCACGTCAGAAAGAGACGATTTGCATTCTTTCGTCATGTGATTAGAAGTAGAAAACTGGAGTACTTCGCAACAATAGGAAAGTTTGATGCGAGGAGAGACAGAGTGAGACTGAGAGAAAACATACTGGACAGTTTGACATCATGGCATGGAGGATCATCTGCATCAAAGTTGACTGAAAGTACACGAGAAAAAAGATTGTGGATAGACAAGACTTCCAATGAAGGTAAAGGTAAAGTCGGGAGATGTGAACCAGCGTCATTGCACACGGCTATACTATAAGTGCACTGCCACCAGAACGGACAGCTGATAAGAAACTGTCCGCCTGTGACGCAGTCAGCACGTAACTCTGTAGCTACAGCAATGTTCCTCCATTTACCACAGAATGTGACTCTGGTACCCATTTCCTAGAGGCTGGGTACATTCCGGGAACCGCCCGGTTTCGAACACCGACAGTGGCTGCAGCGAGTCGCAGCTGGATTTGAAAGCTACAGTGTTGCATTTATAGGTGTCTTCAACCTGCTTATAGCTTTCAACGATTTTCTCTGGTTTTTAAAAGTGTCATT